TATAATCCCAGCTACTCAGGAGGCTGACACACGAGAATCGCTTGAACCCAGGAGGCAGAGGTTGCAGTGAGCCGAGATCGCACCACTGTACTCCAGCCTAGACAACAGAGCAAGACTTCATCTCAAAAAAAAAAGAAAGAAAGAAAAAGAACAATTCTTTAAAAAGTTAATATTAACTCTCAGAGACTAGGTTTCTGAATATTTGTATAAACCAACACCTTTTCTTCCAACTCCAACTGAATCAGGTACAAAGAGCACAAGGAAAAATAATCAAAAATAGGTGGTGACAACTTCTGGATTGTGATGCATCTGAATTGAGACCTCTGGGTCATAAAGAATTTATACCACTAACCACCAGCCTGATCATTATAAAATGTTACTTGCCTGGCATTGTAGATGTATTTTCACAGAAGAAAAAACATTATGTTTATTTTCAGGGAAAGCTGATAGTAAATTCTACAGTAAATAGAGCCACTGACTTACCTCATACACACTATAAAAACACTTTCTACTCAACTATGGAGTTTTCTGCCTTTAAAAGTCCTGCCAGAGGATATTCTCAATGATTTTCTCATCATTACACAATCTCTTTCAGCAAAATAAAGAAGGCCTGGGGTCAATGTCTTTACTTTTTATCTATAGGAAGTTAAAGAAAGTCAACACCAATCTAGAATATGAAAATAGTACCTCATGGTGTCTGTAGAATTGGGATAGGCATCAGTTCATATCCTGCCAGAAGCTGGACAGACATTTTGAACAATGTGGCTGTGAGGTTATGATGACCTCACAAACAGGAATTCTGATGTTAGTCAGGATGAAACCTTACCAATTTAAAGAAAAACCAGAAGGTTCTGTATTCCTGAATCTGGAGGTGATAACTCAAGGAATGTCCTTCCGCGTAAGAAATTATCCTCCCATCTGAGATTAGCAGCATCTAATCTCAGTTTTCTCCACTGCTGACCAGCATCAGCAACACAGGTAAGCAGAGGAAAGCATGTCCACCTAAACAGCTGAACACCAGTCATGTACGCATATCTATATCACCTGCAAACTTCAAGTAAGCAAGTTTTTATTGTGGGTCAGTTCCAAACACTTTTTCTTAGTATTCTTTACTGGAAAATTGGGCTACATTTAAGAATCCTGGTAACTAAGTAGGAAATAAATCATAAGCTTAAAATGTTACTCTAGCCATTCTAATAAACTACTAAGTTTGCCAGCCCCATAGGGACTCTGTTTACTAAGGAGAAGTGGAGACTAACATGTGTAAATTCATTTTGAAAATGCCTAAAGAATAAAGCCTTGAGACAGCGCCTCAAGATAGCCCTGTGTATCTTTGTGAGGAAAAGGCAAAATGGCCAGGCTGTGGTTTCCTCCCTCTTAAGAGGTTTGGAGTTTGCAAGCCAGGACAGAGTAAGAATTAGGGACATTTTATCATTTCTAAGGGCTTAAAAATTCTTAAATTGAAGGGACCTATAACAGGGACTCAGAACAATTATCTCAATTGGTAATTTTTATCTTTTTTGTTTTCTTGGGTCTCTAGAAAGTTTATTTAATGAACAGGTATAATTAATTTCACAAGAGGAAAAAAATTCATGATTTTTGAGCTACAATAAGACAGCTTCAACCAAAAGAGTGAAGAAACAGACTCTACCATGCTTTCTCCACAGAAACAAGAATGCAGTACAGCAAAGCCAGGATAGAAGTGAAGACATATGGAGAGGGTGGCTGGCTGTTCACCAAGACTTTTTTTTTTTTTGAGACCAGGTCTTGCTCTGTTGCCCAGGTTGAACTGCAGTGATGCACACACGGCTCATTGCAGCCTTGACCTTCCCTAGTCCAGCCATCATCCCACCTCAGCCTCCCAAGTAGCTGGGACCATAGGCAGACACCACCACACCTAGCTAATTTTTTTTTTTTTTTTTTTTTTTTTTTTTTCAGAGAAGGGGTTTTACCATGTTTCCTAGCCTGGGCTCCAGCGAACCACCAACCTTGGCCTCCTAAAGTGCTAGGATTACAGGCATGAGCCACTGTGTCTGGCCTCTTTTTCTTCCTGGATTCACACCATATTCCCCAGCTCCTACTACAGCTCAGTATGATCATGTGACTGAGTTCTAGCCAGTGGAATGAGAGGAGTGTGTGAGACATGTGCCACTCTAGGCCTAGCCCAGAGGAACCTGCTATATGCAATCCCCCCATGCTCTTTCCCCTTCTAATGGCTTGATGGACACAAGCCCAGCAACCTTGAAAGCATGTAATGAACACGACAGAATCAAAAGATGGAAGATGTCGGGCACAGTGGCTCACGCCTGTAATCCCAGCACTTTGGGAGACCAAAGTGAGTGGATCATTTGAGGTCAAGGGTTTGAGACCAGCCTGGGCAACATGGCAAAGCCCCGTCTCCACAGAAAATACAAAAATCAGCCAGGCATGGTGGTGCACACCTGCAATTCCAGAGGCTGCAGTGAGCCAAGATCCCACCATTGCCCTCTAGTCTGGGAGACAACCAGATCTGTCTCAAAAAAAAAAAAAGAAAGAAAAAAAGGAAGAAGCCTAGACACCTGAATCGCCTCTCCCCATTTTCCTACCAGTAAATACCTATCCTAAACTTTTCCAAAACTGAAAATCAACTTATTGGTCAGGCTCACTGGCTCATGCCTGTAATCCCAGAACTTTGGGAGGCCAAGGTAGATGGACCACAAGGTCAGGAGTTCTAGACCAGCCCGACCAACATGGTGAAACCCCATCTCTACTTAAAAAAAAAATACAAAAATTAGTCCACTGTCGTAGCACGTGCCTATAATCCCAGCTACTCGGGAGGCTGAGGCGGCAGAATCACTGAACCCAGGAGGCGGAGGCTGCAGTAAGCCAAGATTGCGCCACCGCACTCCAGCCTGGGCAACACAGCTGGAGACTTCAACTTATCAGTTTCAGTTACAGCCACTGAAATCAGTGTGCTTATTTGGTATAGTGGCAAGCTTATTTTACATAATACAGTGGCAAAGAGATAAAAACTTTGCTTACAGCTTCTAATCATCTTGGCCAAGTAAACTCCTCAAATAAATTCATTTTAAGGGGCCAGGCTTGGTGGCTCATGCCTGTAATCCTAGCAATTTGGGAGGCCAAAGCAGGCAGATCACCTGAGGTCAGGAGTTTGAGACCAGCTTGGCCAACATGGCGAAACCCTGTCCCTATTAAAAATACAAAAAAAAAAAAAAAAAAAAAAAATTAGCTGGGCTTGGTGGCGAGTGCCTGTAATCCCAGCTACTTGGGAAGCTGAGGTGAACAGAGTGAACCCGGGAGGTGGAGGTTACAATGAGCCAAGATCACGCCACTGCACTCCATTCTGGGCAAGAGAGAGAAAGAGACTCCACCTCAAAACAAAAAAATTAATTTTAAGGATGAACCTCCAAGATGGAAATGCTTTATACCACAAAAAGCATAATAATGTGACGAATAAAAGTACTATATCTTCATAAAAGCAAACACATTTTACTG